TGTGGTGCATGTCTAGAGTCCTTAAATGACTTTCCCAAGCTCAAGTAGGTCATAATAGGGGCAGCTAGGTGGCGACGTGGATAGAGCACCAGCCCTGGATTCAGGAGGAACTGAGTTCAAATCCAGCCTCAGACACATAACACTTACTAGCTGTGTCACCCTAGGCAAGTCACTTAACCCCATTGCCTAGCCCCCCCCCCAAAAAAAAACCAAGTAGGTCATAATAGCAGGGATGCAAAGACAGATCCTCTGATTCCAGAAGCTGTATCTTTTCTACTGCACTCTATTTCCATTATATCAAAGATTCTTAATTTCATTGTTTACTGAGATTTCTTTTTGTTCAGTCCTTTCAGTCTCACCCAGTTCTTCATGACTGTATTTTGGGTTTTCTTAACAACGATATTGGAGTGGTTTGTCATTTCCTTTTCCAGCTCATTTTACAGAGGACAAACTGAGGCAAACAGGGTTAAATGATTTGCCCAGGGTCACATACCTAATAAGTGTCTGGGGCCAGATTTGAACTCAGGAAAATGAGTCCTCCTGACTCTGGTTCCAGCATTCTATTCACTGTGCCACCTAGCTTTCTTTTACTCAGATTAGAGCAGATTTTTTACTGAGGCCTTAATCATAATTAATTACTTTGGATAAAGTTACCTTCTAAGTAAATGGATATAGAGGCCTAAGGGAACTTAAAAAACATGAAAGATGTTTTAGAAGCAGAGTGCTTCATCAATACTTCAGCACATCAATACAGTTCTGTCCCAGTAGTCTGTGTGATGCCCTGTACAAATGGTGCTCAATCACTCTTCTAAGGAAAATTAATTCCTAATGGCCAAGAGAAAAGTCACATGAAATTCCTTGCGGTCGAACTTGAAACTTATGACACTGATAAATGGATATGTAAAGTGACACAGCCCCCCTTCAAAGTACAATATATTTGGATACCTTGATATTTTTTTTGGACTCTAGCCCAGTTTCATGGTAACAAGGTTTATTGTAAATACCAAAGGCAAACTTCCTTTTATTAAAGAAGGATATTACTGGAAATAATTTTAATGATATCAGAAAAGTAATTTTTAAATTCATAAATTGAATTATAAAGCAAAAGCAAATTCATTATCAGAATGAGGAAAAAATCTGATTTTTTAACCTTAAGACCCATCATGATGGTCAGGCGATCTTTCCTTACATTTTATTTCTAAAGGATTAACAATAGTAAAAAAAAAAAAGAGGCTTAAGGAAACAATACTCAAATATATCTAAATATTTCTGAGTACATGTGTAAAATGAAGATATTATACTAAATGCTCATTTAAGGTCTCTTTCAACTCTAAAATCTTAGATCCTACTCTTGAGTTGTCTGAATAGTTAGCCACATAATGACATTCTTCACTAGCCAATTAAAGTATTACCTGTGGTAAAAACATCTACATTGTAAAACATGTAAACTCCTTGACTAGTTACCAAGGAGTTCATGGCAGACATTTATCTTTTGGGGATGGTGAGAATGCAATTACATAAATCAATCAACTGTCTCTGTTGTCTAGATTGATATTTGAGGTTGTTATAGAACTTCTCTTGCTAAGTTCTTTAAAAAAAAGTTTGAGTGCGTATAGTTTTTTTTCCACATATTTGAAATACATTAAATTTTAAAAGTCTCCAAATGAAATTCGATCAGAAGCAAATTTAAACATAAACACAGGATAACACACATCATGTTGGTTTTCATGGACAAATAACTAATGCTTATTGATACATTCTAATTTCATATTAAATTCAAAACTAGATTTGCTTCATTCCATGATTATACTGATGAGCCAATTATTTTTTATTGTGCGTTTTATTCATTTAGGCCTCATTGTGACTTTCCCATGACCCATTAGTAATGTGAAAATTAAATAACAAAAACACAAGATTTCCTTCCGTAGGTAAAACAAAAGAGAATGACACAGACTTTTGGTTGAAGCATTACTGATCAAGCTTAATGGCAGTCTCATGGCCAAAACCCCATGCCATCCTTTGCATATTTAAGGCTAAGTACAAGTGCCACTTGTTTAAACTAGCTGAGAATCCACAGGGGCGCCTAATCATTACTTCCCAAAGTTCTGTCAATCTGTTTGTGCCTGGCTCTGTCAATGCCACTTTTTGGCTCATGCCTCTTACATAATCATTCTCCACTGCTTTGTACAAGACTGAGTTGATTATGAAAAGTAAACAACCTTTGTTCACTTATTTTTCACCAACTAAAATAAACTGTGCCATAAAAGACACCCCTTACTCTGATTCTTATTCATTACAAGTGCCAAAATATTGTCCTAGATTCCCAGGCCTATCTAGCCTGAGTAATGAAGAGCAGCCTAGTTCCAGAAGACTCCATCTCCACTCACAATCCATCACTTCACTACATTAGGACACATGGACTATATGAAATAGAAATTAATTAATTATTAAGATATTATCAAGTGTGTCAAGTTAGGCCTATATCATTCTTTTTAAGTAAGTGAAAACTCTACATCGCTTATCTAAAATTTAGAAAAGATGTGTGATTTGCTCAATGTCCCACTAGGAGATATAACAAGGTCAAATCTGAACTGAATTGTCTGACTATTACCACAATCTAAATCTTCTTAAAGGAAAGAAGTTAGTTTTGCTTTTGCAAGCTGGTTACTGTTTGTGTTCAAACAGCTTTGTTGTGCCCAAACAATACAAACTGACCAGGGCATTTTTTTTTAAATCAAACATTCCTTCTTATTTGATCAAGACTGTATTACCCTACCCCTGCACTTAGGATTAGAGGGTGAATTAAGTTTTATTTTTTACCTTCTCTTAAATCAAACCTTCAGAAAGGATATTGATCAAGTTAGGAAAATTCAAAAATCAGATGTCAAATTATTTGCAATTACTCTACTTTTCCTGGTTTTCCCAGCTTATCATCCTGATCAGGCTTCACTTTCCTTCCTTCACATTCATGAAATAAACCATTTCAAATTTACAATACAGAATCTATCTTGGAATCTTTTGATCTCCCACTAATCATCCCTTTCCAAACTTTAATCCTCAGTGACCCCACTCAACCTGCTTTCCCATCTTCTACTCACAGGCTGTTGCACCTTCTGAAGGATTGCTAGAGCAAGGCACACAGTTCTGGTGACTTGGTCTACTAAAAGTTCATCTCATCTAATCTCAACTTTGCCTTCAATGCTGCATGAATTATTTCCTTCCTAAATTGACTCTCTATAATACTTTTCACACGATCTATTTTAAAACTTTTCTTTTCTCCTTCCTCCCTTTGTTTCCCTCTTAAAAGAAAATCTCACTTCATACTTAACTGAGAAAATAAGACCAACTATCATGTTCTCACTCTTCCCCCTTTTCATCAAATTCCCTATTCTCCTCCTTTGCTTTAGTTTCTGAGGTAACTCCTTCTGTGCTGATGACTTTCAGATATACATATCCAGCCTTCCTCTTTCTCTTGAGCTTCATTCACTACTGACGTATTCATCTATAGGAATCCCAAATACAGTATGTCCAAAATGGAAACATAATATTTCTGTACTGCCCTATTTCTGTCAAAGATGCCACCATCTTTTTTAGTCACCCAGGTTTACACCCTATGAGTCATGCTCTACCCTTCATCTTTCTTCACTTGTTCTGGTATCAAATCACTTGCCAAGCCTCATCAGTTCTAACTCCCTAACATCTGTCATTATCTCTTTCTCCTTAATCTCAAGGCCTACAAACACCCTAGTTCATACCCTAATCACCTAAATCACTGAAATAGCTTCTTAATTGGTTTCCTTACCTCCAGTTTGTCTTTTTTCTCATCCCATCCTCCACATAGGGGCCAAATTTTTATCGAAAGTACATTTCTAGATGTGTCACTTCCCTATTTTCCATTTAAAGCCCTTCATAATCTGGCTTCAATCCTGAATGATTTCATATTAGCTTTTCTCATACATTCTGCATTGTAGAAAAGATGAACTGCTTACATATTCCCTAGGTGTGGCACTCCATTTCCATCCTGTCTTCCTTTGTACAAGCTGTCCCTTTGTCTAACCAATTGTCCCTCCTCACCTTTGCTTCCTGAAATCCCAGGTTAGCTCTGGTTCCTATTTGAGATCTTCTCTATTGATAGGGCCTGTTTTTAATTTGATTAGCATTTATTTATGTGTGTTCAGACTTTCTCTTTCCTTCTTCCCTCCCCACCCCCACCTCCACTAGAATGTAAGGTCCTTGAAGACAAGGTTTATTTTACTTTTATCTTTGTTTCTCTAATACCTAGCACATTGCCAGCCAGATAGTATGTGTCTAATGAATTCTGGTTGAACTGAATATATTTGATTCCTTTCTTCTGTGTTAAAAGACTAGTCAGAGTCTTGGGTCAGTGCTGCATTTCTTTACTTTCTGTTAAACCTGGGGAAATTAAAAAAAAAAACCACAACCTTGTGGCTTCTATGAGGAATTTAAATTCAGGTTAAGTTATGCTGTCCCTGTCTAAATGCCCATAGACTTCAATACTACAAGCTCTATATACAAGAGCAAGAATAAAATAGCAAGAAAGTAAATAGAGTCAATACTAAAACACTATAAAATCAAAAGATGAGATTTCCTCCAAAAGTCATGCTAATAGTTCCGATTATATTTTAACACATTATAAATCTCACCCCTCCAAAGTAGTAATTTACCACTTACATAAAAAAGTATCATGATGGGGAAAGGTGGAAAATAAGGATTACCATCAAAAAGTAACGACAATTTTTCATTAGAAAACATTGAGACGTAAGATCAGATCGTGAGATGTGGGCATTTTCTTTGAAATTTTTTTACCCAAGTAACTTTAACCAAAAACATAAACTTTTATGTTTGATTTAGATATGGATTTTTCTTGGTTGGGTGGTAAAGGAGACAATGAATAGCTTCACAAATGGTAACATGAAAGTATAGTATCCTTGAAGATTAAAGGTAAATTTTTTCATGAAGGAAATGGTATTTGGACTTACCATAATCATTATCATAGAAAATAATGAATTTCTGCCAGGCATATTCCGTGACCACTCTTAGAATAACATCATTAAGATAAACAGGTGGACGGATAGACAGTGTATAGTCATCATTTCTGTTGCTCCGGGTGAGTCCACAGCCACTCCGTGGGGTCCCAGCTGTTGAACGCTGAATGAAGAGGTGAGGGATGTGCATGGCATCTGCCAAGGACTGGAGAGAACCAGCTGATGTACAGCCAATGGAGCTGACAAGGGCCAAGATGCCTTGGTTCATGAGGTCACAGGCTGTAAGGGAAACATAGCGATATTCAGAATGATACAAGCTTTTCAAGTTCCGTTCTTTTAAACTTTTCCTTTACAGAAATGGAGGTGAAAGTCAGATAAGTTGATTCAGCAATATAAAGTCATGAAATGTAAAGTGTGTGGGGAGAAACAGTTTACAGAAGATAGCCTGAGAGGTTAGTCATTCCCTCATGAGCATGAATTTATTCTTTCACTTGACAAACACTAATTGAGTGCCCCTGGTGTTCAAGATAGGACGGCTAGGTGGTGAAGTGCACAGAGTAAGTACTAGACTTGGAGTCAGGTAGATCAGAGTTTAAATCTGGCCTCAGACACTTAATAGTTGTGTGACTCTAGGCAAGTCACTTACTCCCCTCCCCCTTTTTAAATCCAGTTCCTCATTTGTAAAACCGGGTCATAATGGAGAAGGAAATGGCAAACCACTCCAATATCTTTGTCAAGAAAACTTCAAAAACAAAAGTTCACAGAGTCCTGTAGAGTCAGACATGACTGAAAGACTCAAGTCATTGTTGTAAGTTATAGGGGAGGTATAAACATAAATCATAGTATAGCCTCAAGGAGTCTGCAGCCCAGAAGAATAATAAGGGGTGGGAAGCAGAAAAATAACTCAAAAGAAAACAGTATGCCATGTGCCAGAAGATAAGTTAGAAAGAAACTTATCTAGCAGTTCAAAAAGGAGAATCAGATTGCTAAGGTGTGAGAAATGATTATTAATAATCAATATCTTGGGGAGATGCAGAGGCTCTCTCTTTTTTCTAAATTCTTCATTCAAAACAAAATCTCTTTTCTTGAATTCCCTTTTCTTTCTTTCACTGAAAATAAGGTTACATTGACTCTCTTTGATCTTGTTAAGACCCCACCCAACCTTGAAAGGAATTTAATCCAAGGTAGAGAAACTCATTGTTTTCCGCACTAGCTTGAGTGGAGACAGATCTTTTTGTCTACATAGCCCAAGTCTAGGAGTGGTCTGGTATAGAGATATTTTCCCAATCCAAGAAATACTCAGCCCTTCACTTTAATATATCCCACCTCCAATAATGTTAACCAATTAGATATGATTGCTGTTTGATATACCACCTATTGTTTTGAAGTGTATATAAACTGTGAGTCCACAGCCATCTAGGTCTTTAGTCTAAGAGAGAAGGCCAAATGAATACCCTTTTATTAATAACCTGCTAGCCTTATAAATAAAATGATTAAATTATACCAAAACTATGTCTCTCAAATCTTTTTAATTACAACATTAGCAAAGGAGTTGTATATGATTTTAATAAGTGAGGATGTTGGGGAGTGGTGATTTTCAGGTTTATTATTATGTTAAAAGCATGAGGTGTGTTGGTCAAATGGTAGTGTTTATATAGAAGATAGGTTGCGTGTAGAGGAGTGGTAAGAAATGAGATTAGAGGTTTAGATCAGAGCCAGATCTCTTAAACATACTGAAATCCCAACTAAACATTAAAATGTTAGGTATATAGTCATATATATGTTGGATGCTGATACCAAAGACAAAGGTACAGGGTCATACTTATAAAATTATCTAGAAACAAACAAAAAAATGCCATTAATCTTAATATCATAGAAAATATCTATCTAAAACCAAAAGTAAACATTATATGCAATGGAGACGAATCAGAATTTCTTTCAGTATATCTAAGAGTAAAATAAGAATGCCCAGACTCTCCATTAAAATTTGATAATGTTTTGGAAATGCGAGCAATAGCAATGACAGGAGAGAAGAATTAAAGTTGTAAAGACAGGTAGAGAGGAAACAAAACTATCTCTATTTGTTGATGATATTATGATTTATTTGGAAAATACTAGAGAATCAGCAAAACTACTAAATAAGGCAGCAGTTTCCATAAAGTTGCAGGCTAGAAATTAAACCCTTAAAAACCAACTATATTTCTAAGATCAAATTCTAAGAGGAAATAATAGAAAGGGAAGTCCCATTCCAAATGTGAGAGATGATCTCTCAGAAGTGAAAATCCTCAAAGGGTTAATAGTTCTTGTTAATAGTCGTACTGCTGCCCTTCTGACCTTGTAAGAATAGCCCTACCCCCAACCTGAACTGCTTGCCCTTGCAAAACTTCCCACCTTTTCTTGTGTCTGGACAAACTTGTGTAACTGCCTTTCTCTGTTGCTGGGGAAGATTTCCATGAATAGATTGTGCCCCCTGAAGCCAGCCAATGGGATAAAGGGAAGGGGGTTACGGAGGAGGAGCTCACGTTAGGGTATAAATAAGGCTTGCTTTCTGTAACCAATTTGTACTCCCCTGGTGCATTAATGCAACGAGGGCTGGTACCCCTTCTCATGAGAAAGCAATAAACTCCTTTCTGCTTTCAAGATATCTAAGTCTCTGTTTTTATTTTGAATAAGTGGTCTCTGTCCCACACAGAAATAACTACAAATGTATAAAATATCTGTACAGCAATCTACCAACACAAAAAAAATACCGGTATAGATTTAATTACAAAGTACTTCTTAAATATATAAAGAACAGGGGCAGCTAGGTGGCATAGTGGATAGAGCATTAACCCTGGAGTCAGGAGGACCTGAGTTCAAATTTGGTCTTATACACTTACTAGCTGTGTGACCCTGGGCAAGTCACTTGACCCCAACTGCCTAAAATAAAGAAATAAAGAACACATAAATGCTTTGAGGAATAGTCTGTGATCATGTGTGGACTGTGTCAGTATAATAAAAATGGAAATGTTATCTAAGTTAACTTACTTTTAATGCTATAACAATCAAATTATCTAAGAGGCATTTTACAAACTTAGTGAAATAATAGCAATTCATTTGGAAAAAAGAAGAAAACCAGAACATCAAGAGAAATGATGAAGAGAGGGCAAAGGGGAAACAGCACATTAAGATTTCAAACTAGAGGCAAAGCCAAGATGACAAAGGCAGGAACTTGCCTGAATTCTCCCAAATTCCCCTCTAACCAACTTTTAAGTCATGCCTCAAACTGAATTCTGGAGTAGCAGAACCCACAAAAGGATGGGATGAAACAATTTTCCAGGCCAAGATAACTTAGAATGACTTTAGGAAAGGTCTGACTCACTCAGGTAAAAGGGGAGCAAAGACCAGAGCAGGTGGTAGGTATCCAAACAAACCAGCAGGGTGCCACTTGGCCCAGCACAGACTGGCAACCAAGGGCCCACAGCACAGCAGGCTACCTGTGAGCCCTTCAGCCTCAGTGCAGCAAGTGATGGGCCAGGTCCAGGTGTCCCAGCACAGCAGGTGAGTGGCCAGGCCTGAAGGCCTTGATTCAGTAGGCAAACCACCAGATCCAGAGATCCCCTGCACAGCAGACCCTTGGCACAAGAGGTTTGGTACAGTGCTTCCTGTATTCCACGAACAGAGCTCCAATTTAAAAAGTAATAAAATAGGATGAAAATGAGCAAAAAGCAAAGACAAGAACAAAAAAAAAATGCTGGCCATAGAAAGCTACTACGATGACAGGGAAGATCAAAACACAAACTTGGGAGACAAAAACAATGGCCCCCCTCCAAAAAAAAAAAACCTTCTGGAAGAGCTCAAAAAGAATTTGAAAAATCAAATAAGAGAGGTAAAAGAAAGAAATAGGAAAAGAAAAGAAAGTTATGGAAAAGAATCATGAAAAAAAGAGACAACAGCTGGGTAAAGGAAATACAAAAATAGAAAGGAAAAAAAAAAGGTGTACAAAAATTCATGGAAGAAAATAATTGCTTAAAAAAGAGAATTGCTCAAAGGGAAAAGGAGGTACAAAAGCTAACTGAAGAAAATAATTCCTTAAGAATTAGAATTGGGCAAGTGGATGATAATGCCTCCATGAAACATCAAGAAACAATCGAACAAAATCAGAAGAATGAAAAAAAAATAGAAGAAAATATGAAATATCTTATTGGAAAAACAACCAAGCTGGAAAATAACCATAATACATAATTATATATAATAATTCAAGACATAATTTCAGGGTTATTGTCTCCTTGTCTCCCTGTCTCTTTGAGGCCACGGATTCTCTACCCCTATCCTAAAGGGTAAAATAGAAATTGAAAGAATCCACTGATCACCTCCTGAAAGAGATCTCAAAATGAAAACTACCAGAAAAATTATAGCCAAATTCCAGAGCTACTTGGTCAAGGAGAAAATATTGCAAGCAGCCAGAAAGAAGCAATTAAAATATTAAGGAGCCCCCATCAGGATTATGTAGGATCTAGCAGCTTCTACATTAAAGGATCTGAAGGCTTAGAATACAATATTCCAGAAGGCAAAGGAGTTTGGATTACAACCGAGTATCACCTACCCTGCACAATCCTTCATGCAAAAAAAAAAATAGATATTCAATGAAATAGAGGACTTAAAAACATTCCTGATTCAAAGACCAGAGCTAAACAGAAAATTCAATTTTCAAATGCAAGACTCAAGAGAATCATAAAAATGTAAACGGGAAAGAAACAACATAAGTTACTCAAGAAGTTAAACTGTTTATATCCCTACACATGAAGATGATATTTGTACTCCTAAGATTTATATGACTATTAGGGCAGTTAGAAGGAGTATACATAGACAGAGGATGTGGGTAGAAGTTTATTTTGGTGAGATGATATTAAAAAAATATTACAGGGTAAGAAAGAGGTACTGGAAGAAGAAGGAAGAGAGACTTAGAATGAGGTAAATTATCTGACATGAAGAGGCACAAAAGACCTATTACAATGGAAAAAAGGGAGAGGGTGAGCATTGCTTGAACATTACTCTCATCAAAGTTGGCTCAAAGAGAGAATAATATACAAACTTATTTGGATATAGAAAGTGGTCAGAAGCAAAAATCTGGTGAGGAGGGACATGGTTAAAGGACACATAGAGAGAAGTATAAACAGCAGGAAAATTGGATGGAAGAAAATAATGGTAATCGTAACTGAATGTGAATGGAATAAACTTTCTTTCCCTTCCTTCTTCCTTTCCCCTTCTTTCTTTCTTTCATTATCTTTTTTCCCCTT